AACACGCAGCCCAAGACAACTCAACCACTTCTTTATTCACAGCCGATTCTAAATCCTCCCCTGCTCCACATAGTCATTCTTCCGACCCTCCACGTGTCCCACCATTCCCCTGCTCAAATGCTTTCGGCTATCCTCGCAAATTCTTCCCCTTCCCAAAAAAGTAAGCCCAAAGATTTGCCTACTGTCACTCCCTCTCCACCAGAGTCAATTTCCACCTCTCCATTCTAGATTATTTCTAAGCTTTTGAGGACCTCCCCCCTCCCCTTCCCTCTCCTCCTCCTCTCTCCCTCTCTCTTCACCTCTAAACACCCTTCCCAAACTCTCTCACCTCCTCCCCTTCTTTTTTTTTTATAGGAAACGGTAACTTTCATTAGCTAATAAACCAGAAATACAACTGCCACCTACTAAAGTGAAATGTGACCCCTGAACAAAAACAAATTACAATACTGCCCAAAACAAAAATTCCCGATTAACCCCTTGCTTTGCAAGGTTGTCAGCTAAAGCATTTGCTGACCTCTTAGACCACAAGAAACTTGTACGCCCAACTCCCTTGTGAGGCTCAACAATTCCCTTACAGGTTGTCTAAGGGACCACGTTCCAAAACTATTTGGTTGCAGCCAACCTACTACTAATTTTGAGTCTCCCTCCACTTCTATTTGTTGATAGCCCAAGTGCTTAGTCAATCTGAACCCCTAAAGGAGGGTCAACACTTCAGCTCTAAGAAAGTCCCCCAAGCCTATTGGACCAGAATATAAAGCCAAGATTTTTCCTCCTGCATCTCTAAACACACCCCCTATTCCAGAAGGCCCAAGGTTCCCAACAGAGCTGCCATCAAAGTTTAGTTTGACATTACACTGCAAAGGAGGGGACCAAATTGCTTGTATGGTAAGTGAAGTAGGAGACCTTGCTAAGATACTCTAGCCTTTAATCAAATCATCTAAGGACACATCCTTGAACAAGTCAACAGTTTTCAGCCAATGTATAGCCTTGATGGTGATCCCCCTTCTATAAGTTCAGGAGCTGATTTTTCTTTCCCTTGGAAAATCCTGTTATTTCTCTCTTCCGACACTGCCCACAAGATCCTCATTGTTCTCCACATCACCCAAAGAGAGAAGAGAACCAATCCCAAAAAAGAGCACTAAAAGGACAAGAAATTAAAAGGTGATTCTCTGTCTCACCATTCCTCAAGCAAAAGCTACAAACACGAGGGGACAAGCACCAATTTGGTCTCTTTCTTTGAAGCACTTCCAAGGTATTAATTTTTTGGAGAACCACTTCCCAACAAAAAGCCCTTAACCTTTGGGGGTACCTAAGCGCTCCAAACTTCTTTAACAGGAAAGGAGGTAACCGGATTAGAAGGGAGGACCATAGCATTGAAAAAGGATGAATAGAAAAGCAACCTTAAGATGTTTCAGTCCAAATTCTACTGTTAGGACAAGAGTGGTTTAGAAAAACCAAGTTTATAAGAGAAAAAAGATTATCTGCTAAACCCACTTCTGAGTCCCTCAAACTCCCTTCCCTTCTTCAACACTCGAAATGATTCCCATTAATCTTTTTTTTCCTTTTGTACACTCTCTCTTGCTTGTCGCCCCCTTCAAAATCAGCAAGGGGCTTTCTCTTCCTTCCCCCAAACCTCTCCCCTTCTTCCCCACCCCGTTGACCCACCTGTTGAGCCTCACACACCTTCTCCAAGTTTAGAGCACTATCTGTGTTGTGTATACATGCCTCTTTTTCAAACTAACCATTGTCGAACCACAGCTCACTGACAACCTCCCCTTCTTTGTTTGCGGATGCAATACCCTCCAGCTCCAACTAGGACCTCACTAGAGTGAACAATTCCCCCACTACCAATTGAGAAAAATAAGCCTTTGAAGATAAGGAGCTCCCCTCCCTCAACTTCCTCACCATCCACCAGCACCTGCTTGTTGGTATCCTGCAGCTCCCTTTCTTCACCATCCACTCTAGATCTTATAGGTGGGTTGCCAAAGCAAGCCTTCCAAAACTTGCAGGTTAACCACATTTCTTTATTTAAGTGTCATGGACATGGATGTACAATCACAGACTTTCAGGCCTTAAGTTTTGATTACATAAATCTAGTCATGAACCTCTGTTCAGATATGAGTTTGGATTTATACTTAAGAATGGGCTTGGTTATGAACCCAAGATTGGACTTGGAGCCTGATTAGTGATAAAGTATTGAGATTGTAACCTTACAGGCCCCAATAAAGGTCCAGTGAAGGAGAAAGAAGAAACAAGAGAATCTCATTGTGAGAAATTTCTGGGCAGTAGTAAACATTGAGATCCACCAACCCAGCCATGCCAAAGGGGATTCCTAGTTAACCCCTGCAGCTAAAGGACATTTGAGATTCCAGAAAATTCCTATTTTGGGGTACAAGGACATACAAATAACTTTTGTTCCTTTCTTTAGGTTGACCTTTTGGTGTTTTTAGAATCTTTTGGGGTCACATTGGGCATAGGTAACAGCTTTTTCATGTGTAAGAGTCCTAAACTAGACTAGTTAACAAGTTACTGAGTTATCTTTATTTTGGGTCCTTTTAGACAGTGTATGCACTTAGCAGCTTAGCTCTAATCAGATTGATGTAAACTGGCATTTATTATTGAATAAAATCAGTGCATAATTATTTCATGTGTGTTATGGTGTGTTTTTGTCAGCCTTTGTGGATCATAGCAAGAGCCTTTATGGATCACTTTAAATCCATTTATGACAGCCCAAGAAGAGAGAGAGAGAAAGAGAGAGAGAGAGAGAGAGAGAGAGAGAGAGAGAGAGAGAAGATCTTCCTGACTTTGACTGGCAACCGGGAAACAGAGAACTGATGGATGAGTTAGAAAAGAATTTTGAGATCCAAGAAATGAAAAATGTTGTGTTTTCAATGGAAAGATCTAAACCCCAGGACCAGATGGATTCACGATGGCCTTTTACAAAGATTGCTGGAACATTATAGGTGGTGACTTAATGGAGGTTTTCTCTGAATTCTTTGAGAGAAGTAAGATCAATTCAGTAGCCAATGCTACTTTTATAGCTTTGATTCATAAAAAGGCAAATGCAAGTCACCTAAAGGATTTTAGGCCCATAAGCCTAATTGGTAGCATGTATACGGTAATCTCAAAGGTTTTAGCATAGAGAACCAAAAAGGTGCTACCATCTTTGATTTCTCCAAGCAATGAGCGTTTGTGTCAGGAAGACAAATTATTGATCAAATCCTTATTGCCAATGAATGTGTGGATTACAAAAAAAGATAAGGAGAAAAGGGGTTGATTTTCAAACTAGGCTTGGAAAAGGCCTATGATTTGGTGGATTGAGGATTTCTACTTGAAGTGTTGAGAGTCAAAGGTTTTGGACAAAGGTGGTGTAATTGGGTTAAGGGTTGTGTCTCTTCTTGCCACTTTTCCAAGTCAAAAATTACATCACTTGTCCGACCAAGTTTGGGCCTAATTAGTGTAGGGACAATTCACTAAGCACCACCTAGTGAATTCGACCCATGCATGTAAGTGTAAGAGCTGAACCTATTTGGTTTAGATTGAGATCTTTGTGGGTCCCATGCCATACAAAGATAGGGTTCAATGGCTGGTTAATGTATGAGAGAATTAGGATTAATTAAGACGCAAGTTTGTTTCCAACTTCCTAGTTTGACTAGGTAGGTAGTTTGTTGGAAACATATGGTTGAATTAGGAAACTAAAGAGACCCCCTTTATCCTAAGTTGGGATTGTTTCCTAATTTGTAGCTTTCCTATTCAGCTAGGAGAATGATTAGGAAACTCCTACTTGGACTCAAAGAGCCTAAACTATAAAAGTTACAGAAGGAGACTAGGGTATGCATTCTAGACAAGTCTTCTTGCTAATTGCAACCCTAATTCAACCTAAGGGAAAAGGGCAGCCTTTTCTCCTTCTCCCATTGTTGGATTCAATCAAGCATGGAGAGTAAGCTATTAGCACAGATTCTCTAATTGGACTAGCAATTTGATCTCCACATCGGGCTGCACCATCTTCATCTTGGAGGCGATTTTGGACCTTGTTCTTTAGGTGTGTTAACCACTTAGGGAGTTGCAATTGTGGTCTCCATATCAGGTACCTTCTCCAATTTTTGGAAGCCTATTTGGCATGATAGTTCTAAATCAATCCTAGAGAAAAAGCTAGTTTCTCATGAGAGATTCAATCTCTCCTATGGCTGATTCAAGAAATTTTTGGAATTCACTATTTTTCCATCAAGGCAGAACTGGAAGCCAAATTCAGCTGCATTTAGAGCTCTGGAAACTGCTTGGCGGAGGCCTAACGAAACAAGGGACTAGCAGATCTTAAGTCTGCTATCCAAGCACACTCAACCATGGGGAGTGAGAAGCCATGAGAATTCACCAAATGCTCTTGCAAACCACTCACCATCCAGTTTCGCCCGACCGATTCAACCATGGAGAACCGGTAAAGCCAGTCACCATATGCATCCGTCAAAAACTTGCACCCAACTAAACCATTAGTTTTGCTACCACTTGTTGGGGGAACTGGGAGAGTTGTCAAAGGCCAGGATCTCATTTACACTCACAGGACTTGCACACAAGAGTTGGACACCACCTTTGACCCAAAATCTTAAGCTATTAGGTTGTAGGTCATCTTGATTATAAGTCCCTTGCCTCTCTTATCCCTTTCCAATGTGGAGCACCATCCACTCACACATGAATCCCCTAACAATACTCCCCTCCACCCCAAAAAAAATTAAAATAAGGTGTTTCTCAGTTGAGAAGGTATATACAACTCAGGTCAGATTCTAGAAGCATAAACAGTAAGGGAAAAAACCTAGAATAAGTTAAAAGGGAACCAGCATTCTGCTATAGTTGATAGTATAGCATGCATATAATGATTTTAAAATGTAAAAGGAAAATATCAGAATAATTATTATGAGAGAATACTACGATTTCAATTAAAGATTAATCTTTGATACAAAGAAGAATTATTAAACAGAATAAACCAGAAGGGTGTTTTGCAGTACCTTCATCACCATAACATCAGCCAATTCACCAAACTGGCTCATATACTGCCGTAGCCCTTCACTGTCAATATCCCATGGAATCCCCAGGACCTGCAAAATCCATGGAAGAAATAAGGTTTATATGATTCAAATACATAAAAGAATATCTTAAGTATATAGAAGCTCAATGTACCACTAGTTTTCTCCCACCAAGTGACATTATTGTTCTCTCTCACAGCCTGCAAAATAAAATCAACCTACATGATAGTCAATGCTAAAATCCACATCCCACAAATCAAAAATTAACTATAAATGGTAAGTTGCTTCAAAACCAAAAAAAAACAAATCTTGTATGCAGTTCTGCATATACGATGCAAATAAAGAGGCATAATTGGACTTAAGAGTATTAATCAAATTGAACAAATCATCTTCTTGCACAATCAACACTATGGTACATTCCTAGACGGCTAGACCTTCTTACGCATATTGAATTCAGCAAACAATTCAGAAAGGGTGGCATCATTATTGATTGGTGAGACATGAAATTAAATAAAGAGCAGGTAGAAAAAGTATTAACAATTTACATTTTAATAGTATTCAACAGGTATGGTGGCATGATTCTGTCTGGGTCACAAGATTCATAAAGCCAGAACAAAGTCTGGATAAGCTTCTTAATGGACAGGGGACACCACGTAAACTAGTATCTTATTATCTGATTGCTACATATACGTGCGCCGCCAATGGTGTGTTTGATTTAGGATAGACTCTAGTGTCTAAAATGGAATTTGAAAGTCCAACATGGCAGGATAAACATATGCCTCTTCAGCAAAAATAACTTCAGCTAAGAGGATTGTCTGTAGATCCTAAATCTTCAGGTGAAAACCAAACCGAAAAGTTTATTCTTTGATCAAAGCAACCCGCATTACTCTAGAAAGGACATTATACCTGCTATTTTATCCGAAATAACTCGAAGTGCTTATCAAATCAAAACAGGAAACAACATTAAAGATAAGAGTCTAGCAAAAACTGACATGATTGCACAAAATTATGACTAAACAAGGAAAAATAATTGTTAAGGGCATTCAAACAGGACTAAGATTAGGGATTTTGCTCCTTTCTGCTTTTCGTTCTTTCGCCTTACCTACCTGAATCAAAGAGAGCAGTTTTCAGGTGAGAAGTGCAATCAAGATCTTAATGAGAACGTATAATCTCTTGAAATCTCGTATGGAGATGGCAAAAGAAACAAGGAGAATTTCCGTCGAAAAGAGAAAAGCCAACTTGACATGCTCACGCTGCTTGGATATATTCTTCTGCTGCTTCTGAGTCAAGCGAAATGGGGCTTTGTTGGCTCGTTGCACGGTTGGCAAAGCGAGATATTCACTTACTTACGGCGAGACCGTGGCCAAGATTGAACAAGAGCGAGAGCACAGCAAGCATGAGAACATACAAAAAATTTGCTTTCAGACAAAAAGAGAACCCCATGTCACCATGACGACTTTTCGCACTTCTCCAAACTCATCATAACTTTTCAAAACTGCAGCGAATCCATGTCAGTGGGATTTTAGATTTAGAGCATCCTTAATGCATATTAAACGAAGTTGTCTACATCAGCATAAATGTAATTTTATAACTAAACTGCCCTTAAATGATAAATCAGCCTTATTAAATATATTTTATGACTAAAATGCCCTTTAATTAGTGCCTAATTGCCTTATTTCTATTCGTTGAGAGTTCCAATCAAAATCAAACACTTCATAGTTCACATGGACACTCCACTTGCATGTCCAAAAAATTAAATGGTACTTTCCCATTAGCTTTATAATACAATTTTTGAAACTGAAAAAAGAAAAGGTAAATTACATGGACCCCCGTACTATGGGGTCTGTGTCAAATACCCCTGTATGATTTTTTGCTACAAAGAACCCTGCACTTTAACCGTTAGACACAGACCCCCCTTTGTTAGCGGTCCAGCAGTTATAGCCGATAAAAAGTTAACATTTCTCTGTTACAACACTTTTAAATACCCAAAATGCCCTTTTGACATTTTGCTTGACCATTTTACCCCTTAGTTCATTTTAAGACTTAGATTTGGCAAGTTATCTCATTTCTCTGGTGCATTCAAGTCTGTAGAGGTTTTTTGCAGCAGAGGTATTTTCTTCTTAGCGAAGGTTGGCTGCCAACAAGTCTTCCCGTTTCGGTGATTTCAAATCCGCCATTGGTATCCCCGTTTGTCATAAGAGTATACTTGAAGACAAACCCTAATGCTAAAAAAGATACTTAATGTCGATGAAAGTTTATGGTTTTTCTATTAGGGTTTGTCTTCAAGTAATATTTGATAATCTTTGGTGCTTGTCTGCATGAAAGTGCAAGGGTTTTCTTGCTATTCTTTCGTGCTTGTCTGCATGAAACTGTAAGGGTTTGCTTGATATTCTTTTAGTGTTTGTTTGCATGAGTGTGTAAGGGTTTTCTTGCTATTATTTGGTGATTGTCTTCATGTACGCATAAGGGTTTATTTGAATAAAAGAAGTAGAAAAGAATGTATTTTCTGATGTAATTTAGAAAGAAAAAGAAGTCAACCTTGGTTCGAAGAGAAGAAGAAGAGAGAAGAAATAAGAGAAAGGGGTGCGGTAGTTGCCTCACTAAATCTTATTTATATTTGTGGCTTTACAAGAAGTAGAGTTACTCTAATACCCCTACTAAAAACAAAAGAAAATAAAAAAGGCCCAACCAGCCCAACTACCATAATTGTAGCATAAAGAAATAAATAGTAAAATAAAGTGTGAGGCTAGGACTACACACACTAATAGTTTATCAAATAACTCTACACTCCCCCTCAAGTTGGGAGTAGATATTTGTCATTCCCAACTTGTGTAAATCTATCTCCAACTTGATTTTTGTGACTGCTTTAGTAAAGAGATCAACTAGCTACATGTCTGAGGCAATATAGGGAAGACACTTCTTGAGATGCAACTCGCTCTCGAATAAAATGTTTGTCCACCTCGATATGTGTAGTCTTGTCATGTTGTATTGGATTGTGGGAAATGTTAATTGCAACTTGATTATCACAATACAACATCAGAGGTTTCTCATTGTCAGTTTCAGCTCATCAAGCAAAGATTTCAGCCATAACCATTGTTTCTTACTGGACAAGCAACCATGTATTTAGCTTCAGCACTGGACAAGCAACAACAATTTGTTTCTTACTTCTCTAGGAAATAAGGTTTCCCCCTACAATGCACAATACCCAGAGGTATATCTTATGTCATCAATACATCCAGCCCAATTAGCATATGTATATACATCTATCTTCATGTGACCACTATTCTTGAAGAGTATGCCTCTCCCTGGGCATCTCTTCAAGTAAGAAAGTATCATTTTCACTGCAAGAGGGTGAGTGATCCTAGGAGAATGCATGTACTGTCTAACAACACTGACAACATATGAAATATTTGGCCATGTTAGGCAAAGGTAAAGAAGTTTCCCAACCAACCTCTGATACATAGCCCTGTCCTCAAGAAGTTCTCTACCTTTTGCACTTATTTTATGGTTCAACTCAATGGGTGTGTCAACAGGCTTTACTCCTAACTTTCTAATTTATTTCAATAAGTCAAAAACATACTTTCTTTGAGAGATAAAAATGCCATGCTTAGATCGAGCTATCTCAATTCCTAGGAAATAGCACAATTCCCCCAAGTCCTTCACTTCAAATTCCTTGTGAATGTGCTGCTTCCCGTCACCACAATGTCATTCACATAGACAATAAATAAGGTCAATGAAGAATCTGCCTTCTTAAAGAAGAGAGTGTGATTTGACTAAGCCATCATGTAACTAACCTTTTCCAAAGCCAGTTTAAACCTATCAAACTAGGCTCTTGGAGATTGCTTCAACCAGCAAACTTTCTTTCCTACTTTTGTATTGTAAAACCAGGGGGTAACTCCATGTACACCTCCTCTTGCAAATCTCCATTGAGAAATGCATTCTTGACATCCATCTAAAACAATGGCCAGGAGAATTTTGCAGCAATAGACAGTAAGACTCTGATAGTATTCATCTTGGCAACTAGTGCAAAGGTTTTCAATAGTCTATGCCATAAGTTTGTATGAATCCCTTTGCAACCAATATGGTTTTATATCTCTCTAAAGAACCATTAGCATTATATTTCACTATAAACACCCATCTGCATCCAACAGGTTTCTTCCTCTTAGGCCGGTCAACTAGTTTTCATGTATTGTTCATAACAAGAGCATCAATCTCTACTTTCATCGCTTCCTTCCACTAAAGTATCAATAGAGCATCATGCACTGTTCTGGGTATAGGAATAGTAGCAATAGATGCCAGGAAAGATCTATAGGATTCTAAGAGACAACCATAAGAAAGAAATTGGGAGATACAATGAACAGTGGATGAATTACAACAACGCTTCCCTTTACGAATTGCAATTGGGAGATCAAGGTCATCTGAAGGAGGAGATTGAGGCTCAACAGTGTCAAACAAAGTATTTACAACGGTGGAATCAACAGTAGGAGTAGTGCCTGGACCTGGAGTTGTAGGTGTTGGGATCGGCCTAGACTACTGAGGATGGGAATCAACCTGCCTCCACCATTGTCTATGATACACTCTCAACTCCCTGCACTTCTAACAACCCTCTTTACAACACTCCCCCTCAGTAACCAAAATAGGTAATGGAACTTCTGGGGATGAAATCCCTTCCTCACTACTCTCCCCCTAAGGAAAGGCCCTATGATAGTAGGGCATATCCTCAAAAAAGTGACATCCATGGACATAAAACGCCTCCTCGAAACAGGCTCATAATAGCAACACCCCTTTTGATTTTATGCATACCCAAGGAAAATACATTTAGCAGCTCTTGGATCAAATTTGGAGCGATGAGATCCAGGATTTAAACAAAAAAAGTACACCCAAATATTTTAAGGGGAATAGTGAACAAGTCCTTGTCTGGACATAGAAGATTGAATGGTGTTTTTATGTCTAGAACTCGTGAAGGAATTCTACTAATAAGATAAACAGTTGTACGGATTTTCTGATGTAATTTATAAAGAAGAAGAAGAAGAGAAGTCAATCTAAGTTCAAAGAGAAGAAGAAGAGATAAGAGATAAGAGAAGAAATAAGAGAAAGGGTGCAGTTAGATATTGTTCTGGCCGCCCTACTAAATCTTATTTATATCTGTGACTTTACAGGAAGTAGAGTTACTCTAATACACCTACCTAAAACAAAAGAAAATAAAAAAGGCCCAACCAGCCCAACTACCATAACCGTAACATAAAGAAATAAACAATAAAATAAAGTGTGGGGCTGAGACCACACACACACTAATAGTCTATCAACTAACTCTGCAGGTTTTTCCATGGAATAATGGTTCATGAAACTATAAGAATTCTTTGCTATTCTTTGGTGATTATCTTCATGTACGTGTAAGTTTTTTTTTTTTTTCATGGAATAATGGTTCATCAAACTATAAGAGTAGAGTTGTAAGGGTTTGCTTAACCCATTAGTTCATCAAACCCATTACTACTTTAAAATGCACAAATGGCCTCAAGAATATTTATAGAATATTTTCCCTCATTTTTATCAATAATTTTAAATATAGAAGGGTAATGGTTCATAAAACTATAAGAATTGTTTGCTATTCTTTGGTGATTGTCTTCATGTACGTGTAAGTTTTTTTTTCATGGAATAATGGCTCATCAAACTATAAGAGTAGAGTTGTAAGGGTTTGCTTAACCCATTAGTTCATCAAACCCATTACTACTTTAAAATGCACGAATGGCCTCAAGAATATTTCTATAATATTTGCCCTCATTTTTATCAATAATTTTAAATATAGAAGGGTAAATTTTGTCCTCATAATTCGTGATTGAGATTAAATGAGTTGAAAATAGGTAATTTTAAGATATTCAATGCATTCAATTTCTTTTCATTAAATCCAACATTGAAGTTATTAACTTGCATTCATGTTCATTGAATCATATATTTAAGCATTTGTTTCTTTTCATCATTAAGTTCTATTAATAAAATCAATACTTAATAAATTAATAATTTTAATAAAATAAAATCTTATACTTTTAAAATCTACCTAGAAAAAATAGTGTTTTCATCTAGGTGGTGGTAAGAAATTAAACCATTTTGGGTCAAATGGGTCAATCCATGTTGCCATGATTAAATAATAAAATAAAAAATAGATAAAATGAAAAAAAATAAAAAATTGAGAACATTTTTAACATACATTAAACAATAATAAGTACGATAAATAAGAAATGTTTTTATTAATTTCTACATGTTGCCAAAATGATGGAGAGGGATGCTCATTCCTCTTTCTTCTTTCTTCTCCTTCTCTTCTTCTTCTTTCCTCTTGTCCGAAAATCCTTGTTCTTGTTTTCCTTTTCTTATTTTTTTTTTGTGAGTGAGGGAAATGGAAAAGTGAGGTGATGAGTGATGGTGTTTGGTGGAGGTTAAGGGAGATGGACATGGGAGGCTAGGAAGTCAAAGACGTTATGAAAGGGATAGAGCTTGAAAGGGGT